CGCACCCCAATCTCCTGCCCCAGGCTCAGCTCAGAGCCCCTCTCACTCCAAATCCCTTAGCCCAAGACCAGATCCTGTGCCTAAACCTTCTGCCCCTGCCTGGTGAAAGGGAGCAAGAATGTGGGTGGGAGGGAGGACAAAGTGAGCAGGGGCAGGGCTTTGGAGAAGGAGCACAAAGGCAGGCAGGCAAAGGTACTTGGGTTCGAGGTAGGTCCTGGATTGCACTTAAATTCAGAAAGTGATCTCGGGCTTAAATAGGTGGGAGACCCCTGGTCTAAGGGTACCACTTGGGCTACGTCTAGACTGGCATGATTTTCCGCAAATGCTTTTAACGGAAAAGTTTTCCGTTAAAAGCATTTTCGGAAAAGCACGTCTAGATTGGCAGGATGCTTTTCCGCAAAAGCACTTTTTGCGGAAAAGCGTCCGTGGCCAATCTGGACGCGGTTTTCCGCAAAAAAGCCCCGATTGCCATTTTTGCCATCGGGGCTTTTTTGCGGAAAACAAATCTGAGCTGTCTACACTGGCCCTTTTGCGCAAAAGTTTTGTGCAAAAGGACTTTTGCCCAAATGGGAGCAGCATAGTATTTCCGCAAGAACACTGGCAATCTTACATGAGATCGTCAGTTTCCTTCATGGAAAAGTTTTCAGTTAAAAGCATTTTCGGAACAGAGCATCTAGATTGGCACAGACACTTTTCCGCAAAAGCACTTTTTGCGGAAAAGCGTCCGTGCCAATCTGGACGTGCTTTTCCGCAAAAAAGCCCCGATTACCATTTTCGCGATCGGGGCTTTTTTGCGGAAAACAAATCTGAGCTGTCTACACTGGCCCTTTTGCTCGAACGGGAGCAACATAGTATTTCTGCAAGAAGCACTGATTTCTTACATGAGATTATCAGTGTTCTTTTGGAAATTCAAGCAGCCAGTGTAGACAGCTGGCAAGTTTTTCCGGAAAAGCGGCTGATTTTCCGGAAAAACTGGCCAGTCTAGACACAGCCTTGGTGTTTATTATCCATTAAAGATTTTCATTTGAGCCAACCAACAGAAGTTTTCTGATTAGCACGGGTGAGGAATTGGTTTTGCATAATTTCAAAGTCACACAAACATCCTGGCTGTGTCTAGACTGGCAAGTTTTTCCGCAAAAGGCAAAACCACTGACGATCTCATGTAAGATTGCCAGTGTTCTTGCGGAAATACTATGCTGCTCCCATTTGGGCAAAAGTCCTTTTGCACAAAACTTTTGCGCAAAAGGGCCAGTGTAGACAGCTGAGATTTGTTTTCTGCAAAAAAGCCCCGATCACGAAAATGGCAATCAGGGCTTTCTTGCGCAAAAACGTGTCTAGATTGGCCACGGATACTTTTGCGCAAAAGCATCCGTGCCAATCTAGACGCTCTTTTCCGCAAATGCTTTTAACGGAGAAGCTTTTCCGTTAAAAGCATTTGCGGAAAATCATGCCAGTCTAGACGTAGCCCCTGGGTTTCAAAGTTTGACTCTAGTTTGGAGAGGCTGGAAAATGGAGGAAGAAGTGGAGCAGAGGAAAGTAATTAGTGAAAGACTAATGACAGATTAAATGACCCACAGGCGTGGGCCGGTCTTGAGGGGATATTCTTCTAGTTCTGCAAACACATCATGGCTGCCCTACAGCTAGACAATGTCTTGCATGAATAATATTTGCCAACTCAGACAGTTTTGTGCAAAGCAAAACAATAGGCTGTTTGCAAAGCCAGAACCGCACCAGAGTTTCTTGTTAGGAGCAGTAATTTAGGACCCCAAACCATGGACAAGAACTAGCTGTTATAGAAACAAAATAAAACAATGGTGCCTTCCCCAAACCTTTCCTTACCATTGTTACAGGACAAATGTGATCGTTCAAAATGTCTCTTTCAAGAGCTCTTAATAGGATTTTCAGAAGGTTAAGTTACACTACAGGAATCTTAACACCTCTCTAATCTAGTGTGAAATATCCTTTGGTTTCCAGCTCTCTAAAAAAAAAAAAATCCTTAAATTTGCAGACAAAATATTTATTTTCCTTGAACAGAGGAAATCACTCTTGATGCATTTTAATTGAATTGGAGCTCTCTGTAACACGGTGGGCCTCACCGTTTTGGGACAACCCCCGCTGGTGACTCTGGGAATTAGCTCTTCCACAGGGTGTCACAGCAGCTGTTACCTGTTTTCCTCCACCTCTGTGTACTAGGACCCACATCCTTCCCATCCTCCCACCTGGGTACTGCCCTACAGCAGTGCCCCCGCACTCCGGAGTCCTCCCCCTCTGGGAACCCCCAACCCCTCATGCCCACCTTGCCTCAGTGACCCTCGGCCAGTCTTCACCTAGCCCCTGCCTCGGAGCAAACTGCAGCCTGACATGGCCGCTCATCATAGGCAAGAGGGTGTGGACCCTGCTGCCTTCTCCTGCCCTGGCTGTGTCGCTTAGTACCCTCAGGCCTTCCTCCAGGCCTTGCAGCCTGGGAGCTTCCTGGCCAGAGTCTCCCCAGCCCTGCCTGCCTTTCCCCAGCCCTGCTCTACGTCAGGAAGTCTCTAGCTTCCCTGGCAGCCAGGTTCCTCTTGCTCCACCACTGGAGCAAGAGTGAGTCTGTCTCCGCCCCACCAGGAGCATCCGTGCCAATCTAGACGCGCTTTTGCGCAAAAAAGCCACGATCGCCATTTTAGCCATTGGGGCTTTTTTGCACAAAACAGTACTGTGCTGTCTACACTGGCCCTCTTGCACAAATGATTTGCGCAAAAGGGCTTTTGCCCGAACGGGAGCAGCACAGTATTTCCGCGAGAAGCACTGATTTCAGACAGTAGGAAGTCAGTGTTCTTGCAGAAATTCAAGCAGCCAGTGTAGACAGCTGGCAAGTTTTTCCGCAAAAGCAGCTGATTTTGCGGAAAAACTTGCCAGTCTAGACACAGCCAATCAGTTTTCTTTTGGCCCAATCCTCCAATTTCTCTAGGTCACTCTGGACCCTCTCTCTGCCCTCCAGGGTAGCTACCTCTCCATCCATGAACGCACTCAGAGAGCAAACCATCCCACCATCCAGAGCATTACTGGAGGTGTTGAACAAAACTTGCTCCAGGACAGACCCCTGGGGGCACTTTGCCTGGTCTCATTCTGATTTGTTTGCAAAGTGAAAACAAATAGAGCTAGTAAGTCACATGCCCCTTCCATCAATAGGTGTGACTGTGCTTTGCTTGCGGCTCCTTGACATGTTTTACACATGGATCGACACCCAGCCTGGTGCAGGACCCCGACTGGACCCAACACAGCTCATAAGGCGGCAGCCGGACCCACACTCGCCACCTCCCAGAGTCCGTGCAGACAAACCGGCTTTCTGGTGGGAGTTGAGGGCCAACATACTCGGACCAGATTTCCCAGACTTTCCTTTTCCGACTTGCTCGGGCCCATTCTGATGCTAACCAAAGCAGTTCACCCGTTCCTAAAACAGTTGATCCTTTCTCACTCCGTCAGCAAGACTCGCTACTCCACGGATTTGGGATACAGTCAGGAACGACTGAGAGCACATTTCAGATGTCAGACTTGTCAGCCTGGCCAGCCGAGCATTCCCCCAGAAGGGAGCATCACTGCCGTAATGCTAAACACATGGGTAACTCCCCTGGAATATAAAAAGCCATTCCTATCTCCTTAGAGGAACCCTCTTGACTTCTTCCATTCATCCACAGACGACACCGCACGGAGCTTGGGCTACAAGTCAGGGAGACAAATAGCAGGACCGAGAAGACACCGGTGCGCTGAATGTCGGCTACAAATCATGCACCCAGGCAGCAAGTCTGCATCTGATTGAGTCGTGAAAAGAGTGTGTCAAGCAAGAAGTTGTCCATCTGCTCTGGTGCATTGTATTAACTGCACGATCAGCGAGGGAAAGTTTGCGGTTACAGAAATGTTGGTCCAGATTCCAAGCCCCTCTAAGCTGCAGGGGTTTGAATCCAGGCCAGGGAGATGGGGAGCAGCCACAGTTGCTGGCTGCAAACCTGATTCGGGAACCAGAATCCAGCCTAAAGGTGGGGGGAGGGTCCCTCGAGTTTTGGAAGTTTATCGCCGCTGAGGTCACATATTTTAATTTTGGGAAGGATGGAGAGAAAACTTTTTAAACAGCACCCACGTGCCGTAGGCACTTACCCATCTATAGACCCTCCAATGCCCACATGGTCATAGGGCGTAAATTCCAGCAGTCAGCAACAATACTCTGGGCGGATTAAAGGACTCCTGCCCTTTGGCAGAAGGGAGTTCTAAGGTGAAATTATTCAAAAGCACCTCTCCGATAGGGGGAAGGGATGAAGAGTCATTTAAAGTTGTCAGCGCAATCAAGGCCGTTAATCATCCACGATTACTGCTTCCGGTCCCTGGGGCAGGACCCCAGAGCGAACTTCCTTTGGCAAGCAGCTGGCCTGCGCTTTCATTTTCAAGCCAGGAAAGCCCCTGGCTTGAGCAGCGGATGGGAAGGGGTCGGAGGTTCAGACCCAGCAGAAAAACACCTGAGCAAATCTCAGACACGCCGGATCAGTTTTACAGACATTGCAATTGCCACTGCACCTGGAGCTGTAAAAGCCGGGGGCAACCAGGCTCCACTAGCAATGTGACACAAAACGCATCATCAGCATGTCAGGGAATGTGGCAGCAAGAGGCTGGCCAGTTTCTGCCTGTAAAAAGTTCAATTGTTGGATAGGAGGGCACCACCAATGCAGAAATGACAAGGAGTCCTGTAGCACCTGAGGGTATGTCTACACTAGCTCGGTAGTTCGAGCTAGGTAGGCAAATAAGGGCAACTAGAGTTGCAAATGGAGCCCGGGATTTAAATATCCCGGGCTTCATTTGCATCTTCCCGGGCGCCGCCATTTTTAAATCCCCCTTAGTCCGAACTCCATGCCCGCGGCTACACACGGCACAGAGTAGGTAGTTTGAATTAGGATCTCTAATTCGAACTACCAGTACACCTCCTAATTTGAACTACCTACTCCGTGCCGCGTGTAGCCGCGGGCATGGAGTTCGGACTAAGGGGGTTTAAAAATCCCGGGCTTCATTTGCAACTCCGGTTGCCCTCATTTACCTACCTAGCTCGAACTACTGAGCTAGTGTAGACATACCCTTAGAGACTAACAGATGTATTGGAGCATAAGCTTTCATGGGCAAAGACCCACTTCGTCAGATGCACGCAGTGGGTCTTTGCCCACGAAAGCTTATGCTCCAATACATCTGTTAGTCTGTAAGGTGCTACAGGACTCCTTGTCGCTTTTGCAGATCCAGACTAACACGGCGACTCCTCTGATACTTGACACCAATGCAGAAAGATTCCCTGGTGGCAAAGAGCAGCACTGATGATGGAAAGAGCCATCCAACCCCCAGACCCCAGGTCTCTGGTGTTTTCTGGGGAGGGTTAAATCAGCTTTTCACTCCTTAGGGGACTTTCTACGAGGAAGTTCCCCTCGTGGACCCGGGTCCCCCCTGTGTGGCCGTCCTGCAGACTGCACGGATCAGCGCAGAGCCCCGCACCCTGGTACCTACCCGAACATGGCCACCAGCAGGTTCACCAGGAGGATGTTGGTGGAGAGCATGTAGATGCAGACCAGGGGGATGGTGATCCACTCCGGGAAGCGGGGCTGGTTGTTGGCATCCAGCTCTACGCACAGAGGCTTAGACTCGTTCCCCGAGAAGGTGCAGCGATCGAAATTGTACGTGGTGCCTGGGGCAAGAGGAGACAGGAGTGAGCTGGTGGGAGCTGTGGGAAGAAGCTCTTTTGCTCCCCGAGGCGCTCCCGGGACAAAGGCCAGGGGCCTGCCCGGCGGGGGTCTGATTGCAGTGAGTATGCAGGGGCTGTCTCAGATACCTGCAGAAAAGGGAAGTGGGACAGGGAGGTCAGCCTGGAGCAGGGCTGGGTCTGGTGAAGTGCTCGGTGCCAGGGGGGAGGGGAAGGAGGGCTCCTCTAACAGGGCCCCGTTTTCAGAGGGCTGATGAAGCACATCCCTCTAAGGTCTCCAGTCCCACCCCCAGTTATCCAACTACTTGGCCCCAGCCATAAACAATGTTCCCTCTACATTTTTCCATCCATGTGCGGAATAAATTTTGTTGTGTGCACCAAGCCAGCAGCATAGAAATACATGCTGCTGGCTGTGATCCCGCTAATGAGCGGGGCGGTACGTGAATCGCGCTCCTGGGCACTTACAGGGAAGACTGGCCACTAGTAGTCTATCCTCCTTTCACACTGGCTTGGGCACTCATGATGGGTCAGATCCAGCCAGCAGACCTGCCTCCCTGCCCAGCCTCCCTTGAGTCAGCAGGGCTCAGGGCAGACCTGGGTCCAAGGCAGGACCTGGCCCTAAGAGACACTGGGGGCTCCCTAGCTGAGCCCTTCCCTTGCTCAGGGGAGGTAGACCCAGGAGACAGCTACCGTCAATGTCATCAGGGTACTGGCCAAACATGGCCAGGTTTGGGTCC